TCATTAGTGAATTAACAAGGACAACAACACACGTACAGGTTTTTGCACGTGTTGGTGTTTATACACAAATATGCATGTTCTATTCTCGCTTGCACATGTCGTCCCCTTATAATACGAATGGATCAGACAATATTGATAAAATGTAATATGAATAGTTACGACATAGGTAAACGGTTTCGTGCTCAAAGGACAGATGTTACTGTAATACCTTTTAGCAAAAAGGTAAATTTGAAAACAGCCTACTTTCTCTCTTCCCTTCTACTTTGTTATGCCCGAGATCTGATGTGATCTTTCTACTATGCAACACCGTGTATACCATTGTGGAATGCAAATAAACGTATTGAATACAATAAGACAAGCAGCGTAACTGTTCGGCGTGTCAGTGCCTGCCTTCGCTCGGAGCGTGGGCGTACGGGAAATATATTCAATATCATCACTTCAACAGAAAGACATCCACAGCTGGACATAGGCTGTTCCCAAATATCGCGATAGGTATTTTTAATAAGTAAAAAAAATACGATACCTTTTGTCATCTCTGGTAAGTTGGTAGTAATGGTGGTGATAGCTGCACCGACGGCAGTATGATCCACCTCCTCGATCGTGCCTGCGTTTAAACATACAATAAATATTATGTTTAGGGTTAAAAACTAAATTGCACCTACAAAAAAGTCGTTGAAAAACCAAATACAAAGACACGACGCAAGCAAATAGAAAAATTCGTGAGGTTCGCTGGTTCGTTTCGTGGTTTAGTTGGTATAGCGGCGTCTGGCACGGTAAGCTAGAAGACGTCGGTTCGAATCCGGCCGGATCGAAGCATTTTTTTCTGAGTCTTCGATCTTTGTATTAATAATTATAACAAACTAATGGGTAATTTCATAAAAAATAATTGAATATCAATTCAATAAAAATTTAAAATATTTCAATAATGTAAATACGCCTAACTTATGTTCGACAGATTCCTCTAGTACTCGGTGTTCTTAGACAATATCCATACTCAACAGCGTGCTATACACTTACCGGAGGTGAGAGTGACGACCTGCGCAGTGGCCGCGTTCATGGCTGCAATTTGTGACGTCACAACTTGCTTGTTTGTGTCCATTGTGACTTGCTTCCATTTTATCGAGGCTGCGTCTTGTCCAAGTGCCGGAAGGGAGGCCTGCAATCAAAGACCGATCTTAGTAAACATGTGTAAAAAAAACAACAGCAGAACAAAAAAAATGGTCGAACTTCGTCTCTTTTAATGTTTCTTGGTTTTCAATATAAAATTTCATTTCGGATTTCACCCCATTTACGATGTATTTTTGTGAGAAAGAATAGCCGATGTCGTCTTATGGGTCCCATCTATATGAATCATTGACTTACAATTATAAGGACGTCGGGTCCGCGCTAAAAAGTGTCCGAGCTTATAGGGCGTTAAAATCGTATACAGAGCGTCATTCACGCTTTAGTCTTCGTTTGTTCGACTGACAGCGAAGCAAGCAAAATTAGACAGTGCTGCGATGACATTACAATTTAAATTCAACGTTTTAGCTTTTTCATATTCCTTTACATGTTTACTACGTTTAAATAGGTTGACTTGGGACATTTTTTTCGTGGTTTTTGTATTAGACCCGTCGTCCATTTATTTGTAAGTCAATGATATGAATACAAAATTCATCAAAATTGGTTCAGCAGTTTAGGGGTGAAAACGTAACAGTTTGATACGTTCATGGTATGGTCCGGGGTAGTGGGAAAAGACTTTCAAGTGTCAAACGTAACGTGCTCTTGATTTTATAAATTAGAATACAACATCTGGGGCAAAGATGAATTATAAAAACGGTTCAAGAAAGTGGATTCCCCGTTTTTTCAAATCCTGTTATTAATACATACCCTGGTAAGCTCCTGCTCTGTCTGACGGATGATTTCACGTCCGGTGGTAATTGTGGAAAGCAAAGCGCGCTGTGGCTCCGACAGTACCGAAGTCACTTTGGTTTGTTGCGCCTGAGATGCCTGGACGGAAGCGAATACACGTTAAAGAAGACAGTCATGCGAGTGCGATCCGTACGAAGTTTGATTATATTTTGGATAACAGAGAAGCAAGAATATCCTCCTTATTAATGATAGTAATAAAGTGCACAGTCCAATTATCGGAACTCAAACTACTGTTCTGCTGTACTACGAGTACCAGATTAACGGTAACACAACGGGCACAAACTAGAATTTAAAAGACAATTACATGAATCTTTGCTAAAATTACAAGATATATATTTTAAATAATATGTACCTACACAGCCCACTTCGAAGACTGTTTCGTTCCATAATGAAAGCGTGAAACAAATGATATTATTTTTAAATTTCATCAAAATATTAATTTAAAACAGTACTTGTCACAGAAGTTCAACGACCGTTTAAACGGATGAGACTGTTGAGAATAATTATTTGTTTACCCATAAGAAATAACTAATTCACTAAGAAATAACTAAAAAACTTTGCGATCGGACTACATATTTTTAATGAATTCTTTAATAAATAATTAATAAATATTATTTTATATTAATAATAATAACATATTGTCATAATGTAGTACTATATACTTTAACATAGCTTCTAGATTTCACTGATCGAGTCCCACCTTGGGCTATGGAAACTAAAGGACATGTTATGATGACATATATAAATCAGGCGTTATATGTATATGATGCATTTCCACGTTAAAAACATAAACATGTTATTGTCTTTGTTTAACTCTCGCGTGCCGTCTTAAGCCAAAAGAGAGGGCGTTACATTGGTCTGTGTCAAGTACGGGAATCGAAAATACGTAACGTCATCTTAAATGCCAACCGTGTCCACTTCGCAGTACATGAGGTACATGACACGGTTGTCAAAGGGAAGTATATCAAATGTCAAAACAAATGTTTTTCCAAGAGTTTTATTGAATTATTCGCATGTATTGTAATAAAATGGACAAAAATATTGACAGTCAGAACAATTAAGTATTAATAAAAATTCGTCGCTGCAGCATCACGGGATGTGGCATTTAAAAAAGCGAAGATCGACCGAATGTAACATTGTACAGCCACGTATTATTTTTCTGTCTATAAATCACACAAAAGTCCAAATATCTTATGTAATTAAACATATTTAAATAGTTTGTTCATAAATCTTGCCAAATTTTGCTTTGGTTTCTTCAGATTGCCTGTTTGTTTTTATACTTTGATGATTGATGTTAACGATTATTTTGAGACAGTGTTGTTCTTGGAAGCGTATTATCGATATTATGTTATTAAAATAATTCACTACGAGGTTTTTATTATCTTATTATTATTATTTTTACTATTTCAAGTTTACCTACATATTAAAAAAGAATGGTTGGAAATCACACCGCCGTATAATAGTGCCGAATATAAACATTGAATCAAAGATCATCTTCATTTATTCGCTTCATTTTGAAGAGTCAAATATTAACATAGCTTTGAATGTAATTAGATTACATGATAATGCAATTCCATCATTAGGTTTATTAGTAAATAATTTTATATTTAATTTAGATTAAACAACACTCATTTACTAAAAAGCAAAAAGCTTACATTATTTGGAATCTGTTTAAAAATTTATCTATGAAAATATGAATTTTGAGGTTGGAAATGGATAGGATTTATATTTCAAAGTTTTCTCTTTTTTATATATACTCTCAAATTACAAATATTAATTTTTTCTGTGCAAATTAACTTTTCGTAATATTTGAGTATTTGTAAACGCAAAACAATAAATTCAAAATTTCATGTGACATTCCCGGATATTCCCATATTTTATAACCTAAAATATGCCCAAAAGGAATATTGATCAACTTTAATTAAATGTTTGCATGTCGATACTGATTTATCTATAGATTATGCTACGACACTAAAGAAATCCGCCATTTATTCGTTCAATTTTTGTTTAGGTATGCACGTTCATTCCGTAGTTAGGGCAGCTCCTTTCGTTTATTTTGTTTTCCATCCTCTAAGAGTGCCACACAGGTTCATGAAGTTTGACATGTGTCATTCTATTTAATAATCTATATCCCTATATCATAGGTTATTCTTCTCAGGTCTTTCTAATCAAGCTAAATTTTAATAGTATAATTGGGTTAATTTAAACGTAGTCAAAAAAAGGGTTTAAAGAAAAAGAAAGACGGGGAAAGAGTACCTACTTCTCCTGTTTGGAGAAGAGTAGAAAATCATACCCTGGTAGGAGACCCGTAGCTAGTAACTAATATTAAGGAATGCCAGCCATACAACACGTCAGCGTCCGTTCAAACGGTCAACACGCATGTGATAGTATACAATTCATGTAGTAATAGCTCATTAAGTACGTACAGACAGCGTCAAAATGTGCAAATTGTTTAAATTACGAAAACATTAGTAAATTAAAAAAAACTTGAGCTTATAATTCCGCGTTGGGAAAACTGAATTTATGTTGCATTATTCTCAAATTACTCTAATTGACTTTGTCATTTTGCCTCTGACTGCTGAATTATGTACACGTACACGTGGGTAAGAAAAGAAAGAAATAAAAAGCGTATACGCACTGAAGGCGGCGCGTGCCCGGTGATGATCTGCCCCGAGACGGTAGTCTGCTGCGCGCCGGTCATGTGGCTCATCGCGAATGGCTTCGCGCCTACGCCAAATTATACACGACAAATTATAACAAGCTGTGCTGGATCTAGAAGCAGTGTTAGCCTAGCAGCAGCATGTGCAACTTGCAAACAGGCACGGACATGCACGTCTCGAGACTCTTTGGATCACGTGCAAATATATATTACCTTTGTTGGAACAGTCTTACAGATTTTGGTTTTGAGCTTATGCATTCAATAGAAAAATGTAAAAAAATCCAACCTTCGGTTGAAATTTGTATTTATGTAATGTAACTAAAGATCAAATTCATGTTTCTTAAAACGTCATTCACTAATAATGCAACAAGGAAGTCATACCAAAATGTATTTTCTGCCTCAGTGGTTGAAGGTTAAATTTCTTTAAAACTTTCTTTACACTGATCTACTCAAAACCAAATATTCGGTTAAGAATTCAGTTATCTTATGGCATCGAATATACATACGTACATATAGGAGCAAAAGATAGAAACTCCCTTTTTCAAAAGTCGATAATAAATACACTTGGAAATCAACATACCCTTCTTTTTAACTATCGTAATGGGGTATCAAAATCAATCTAATAATGCTGAAGAAAAGCGCAATAAAAGCTTTCGTAATGTGAGTTTGTGCAACAAAAAATTAAGATATCGACGGAAGCTGCAACTCCTCAATTTTGAAGCAATTGCATCTCTAAACCAGTTACGTACAAACTAAATTTAATTTTAGTTCAGTGCATCTATTCTGTCTTATTTTGTTGTCGAATCCCTAGGTTTTAAACTATTTTGATCAGATGTAAAATAGTGTATATTTGTTTTATAAACAAACAAACGTTTCGGTTTCTTTACAGGCTCCATGGTTATGACTGACTCAGTTTGATAAAACATATACGTGAATAACAAATATACTTGATTTAGATGTTTATTTTCCTACAAATTTTAGTATTGAGATTTATTGTCAAATTTTTACAGCTCTTTGTGGCTCGTGGTACAAATGCATGCTGTCCAAAGGCGGGGGGCGATTCCTCGTTTAGTATTATCTCAAAATGGCTTTAAGTTATATTACTATTACCTATTTAGTTATAAAGCGACAGTGTTGGCCCGTCACTTTGAAATTAAATCGTATATGAATGACACGCCAATACAGCGAAATTTTGAAGATAAATTATTAATATAACGCAATTTTCAGGTAAAATATAACATAACGCAATTTTTCAGATAATATTGTGTTAGTTGTCAAGTGCGAAATCGAGTCGTAGACTAGAATGTAATGAACATTTTGTAATAATACACTCTCGGACACATAATTCGAGGCACCTTGCATTGTTATCCTTAAAGGGCAAGAATATAAAAATATAGTTATCGTCGAAGAAAAAGTTTTCTACGGTTTTTTAAATTCAAATTTTCAATAAGGACTTAAGGAAATGGCGTTCAGTATACCAGTTTCAAAGTTGCATTGCAAGTTCTTGATCAATCTAGCATTGTTTAAGCTAAGGGCACTTAATATTGAAAATGCAAGGTGGCTCGAATATACTCCGGGAGTATATAATTAAACTTAAACAACACTCTATTTGCAAAACCGACAAATATTTGCCGGCGTTAACAAAGTCCGGGTGCTTGCCTATCTCTGGTCGCTACTCCCTTGGAGTTTAAATTAATCGTTAACGACATAAATCGATCAGTCTGAAAACCGACGAGTCGTGAAGACAAATCGTGTCGTATATGAGGGCCTTTACATCTACGGGCGTAGACTAATTTGACAGTTGTAAACTATAATGAAATCTAGGTACTTTTTTTACTCTAAACAAAACAGACAGAAGCAATGAATCTAAAGTTTAATTTAGAATTTGCTCGAAAGGACGGTAATGTTTATAAAATAAAAAATGAATAAAATTTGTTCACAATCCCACCAGCTGGAAAGTGAAAATGTGAACGAGGATGGATCACGTCCGTCTAAAATATACCTGTCCATTCTGATTTTAAAATCATGCAACGTACCTTCAGCTCCAGGCCTCATGACGGCAGGTTTAGCGACGGACTCGGTGTTCACCTTGCCCGACTTAAACGTGTCGTGTTGGATGATGTTAGCCCTGTAACAATATGGAAGACGGGTGAATAGTGGACATCGAGTACATAACCAGAAATAGAGACGTAACAAGGGCCATTCATCCCTGGCAACTCAGCCGTCAAATGGGCCTTATATCACTTTTAAATATCAACTCTCGTTTGCGCTGAAATCACAAATTAGAAAACTGAAATAGTACAGCGCCAACAACTGACCTGTGTGTACGTCTCCGTATATTCCAAAGATATTCTGTATTTATTGTAATAAAAATAATATCTCTAACAATGGGGGCTGTTCAATTCGGTGGTGTGGGAAAAACAGCAAAACATCTAATTACAAAACAAACGGAATCATGTTAAACTGGTCGATTGAAGTGAAACAAATGACGACAGCCGTCAATTGCGTGAATGTGGTTTGAATGAACCTTGATCACATTTTCTTTGAATGTCCTAAGTTGACTTCCTCCTTATATTTTCTTCTCCCTCCTTGTATTACCCGTCCTATTAACCTTAAATCCCATCATCTTTATGTGTTTCCTCCCTTTACTAACATTTTGTGTGATTTTATTCGCTCCAATAATGTTATGCTTTAGTTTGTTGTTTGTCCATGATTGTTCTGTTTCACCTCAGGTATGACCTCCACAACAGCAGTTTGTCGAAGAGGTTCTTCCGAAAATAAATACCTTGCTGGTGCCTTGACGCTGGCGTTCTTGATCAATATTAACTGTCTGTTGTTCGGAACTGACACTGGCCCAAGCCTAGTGAACGTCATTATGGAAATAATACTAACGTGCTCGTGCTACTCACTTGGAGGGAGAGACGGAGTCCTCCAACATGGCGGAGCCTTCGTCCCCCTCGATTCCGAGATGCTCTTTCGCCCTCTGCTTCCGAACGATGATGTCGATGTATCCCGCGATCACCTGCAGGATCTGCTCCGCCTCTGTCGTCTGGACGGAGTAGTACTGGTCACTGGAACCGATGCATGATTATTAATATATAGTGGTGCTTTTCATGAGTGGTGGCCCTAAATAAAAATATGATCAAGCTATTACTCGGCAACTTAACAAAATTAAATTAAAATTTGTCAACTTATGTCTCAGGGTGACAGGTCCAGTGGTAGTGTCCCTCGGATCTTTGCGATTTAAACCAGGCGCACGAATTGATCGTCCCGTCACTTGGTTTTATAAAAAATGACTTACCTGTAATCTCCGAAATCCAGTGTGAACGTGTTAGGGCTGGCGCACCAGCGCCGCACTGTAGTCAACGGCCAGGTCTGCAATATCTCCTTGGTCTTCTCGTCCAGACGCAGCACCGAGTCTTTGGTCACGCCGAGCAGACGCGGCACTAGCTTGTTCTTGCCTTTCATTTTCTCCTGTAACCAAATGACGTTGTTTAGATTAAGGGAGTTCCTGGCGCCAACGAAGGGCGTATTTATAACACAATACTAGCTACTTACAAAAGAAGACAGCAAGTACAATTAAATTTGAAAACGTTCAAAATTAACCGTTGTCTCGCTTCTGCTATATTCTAAATTATTTTTTATACATTTATTGGAACTTTTTATCATTGTCCAAATTACACTTAAACCTATCCATTTCGTACATGTCAGCCCCTGTAGTATATCCACATTTTGCTCTCCAATTCGAGTGATAAACTGGCCAAATTTTAAAATTTTATCATAATAGTTGACGTGGCGAGTACGGTGACGTCACATTTTTATGTCATCGCAATGATTGCAAAAGATCAACACATTGCGAAACATGGCTGCAAGGTCACAGCTGATTTTAAAAGTTTTGACAGTTCTGCACAGTAAATTTATCAATGTAAAAATTGAGCGCGAGAAACGGGATGAAAAGAAATAATAAAACAAAATTGTTTTCGCGGCGATAATTAAACGATAAAGATATCTATATACGCAATCTCATATCGTTGTCCTTGTCCGTCAAAATGTGCAACAATAGTTCATTACCAAATAAGCAAACTTAGCTTTATCAACTGAAATAAATATTGTCATGGAGAGGCTTATCACACATATACTGCCATGCTACAGCCACTGATATAGCGTTCTCTAAAGTAATCTCCAGCCCTGCACTAGCATGTGATTGACAATACAGACCTTGACAAGGAAGAAAGCGACGCCATAAGTCTTCAGATCCCTGGCACTCTTGGTGTACAGCACCTTTGCGTCGAGCTCGCTGAGGCCAGAATGCTTGCGGTGCTCTCGGAATACCTTCTTTTCTATGCCCTTCACCTTCACGTAGGAGGCCGGTAGGAATTCTTTCAGACTGTAAATAATTAACCAGGGTTCTTTACTGCACCATTTTGGTGGGCCAGCGGGTAGCACTGTGGGCGTTAGATAAGGTGTTTCTGTGGACTAGTTGGGGAAACTTTTATTATTAATATTAAATTAATTTAACTGTTCTGGTAGTCATAGTACAGTGAATCGACTAGTTTTGACATCAGATAAAAGGCATACTCACTCTAAAAATCCAGTCGTGTGTTTGTCTTCCTTGTGGTCGCCGAACTGGATCTGGCATTGGATGCCGGCGAACTCGCAGGCTGTTTACAAAGTATGTTTTAACAATAAATATTTCAGCTATGCGTCGTTAGGGTAAGTTCCGATAAGTCGAACACTTTAACTAATTTGAACTATTTTTAAAAGAGAATTTTGTGCTCTATCTTTTGCTATTTAAAACGAATATTTGACCATTTGTCACGTAGCCAGTTTCAGTTAGTGGACGGCAGAACACAACAATAGCTAGCCGTTATAATTACAGTGGCCCGCCCATTCGCTCACCCTTGTCATGCGTGACGGGGTGCGTGCCGTCCAAGATGGCGTCGCGCGCCTGCACGTACAGCAGGTTGAGCTGCACGGGGTCGCGCGAGTCCACGTTGCGGTCCGAGAAGAACAGCTTGCGGCGCAGCAGCAGCGTCTCGCACACGTCGATGCCTTGCTCGCGGAGGGTTTTCGACGGCTCCACCCAGTTCACTGGCAACAAATGTGGCTATTGTGCAGGACAGTTGCGATGTAGTAATCAAACCCCAGATCTATTATAATAGGATTCCTTTATTCCACAAAAGCCATAAATTTAAGATTTGATTGTAATAAAACGCAATCGGACGCCGAAAAAACAGTATGAGCAACAGGAAATGATTTAAATCGCGTATATTTGTTTTTTCAAACAAACCAACGTAACAGGTCCCATGGTCACGGTTGACTGAGGTGGTACAGTCTTCAACCAGTTATGTCTAATATTAATGCAAACCACCTATTAGATAAGATAAGACCTACCTTCATCGTCGGTCCTGAGCTTCTTTCTTAGCTGTTCCATTTTAATATCGCGATCCTTGTCCTGGTGCTTCCTCTTCAAGGTCAGGGTGCCATAGTTGGGTTTTTCGCAAGGGTCGGGTTCTTCCTTTTGCTCTTCGCGAACCAGGCCATACTCGTCGTAGTTGGTGATGCCGATCTTGGTGCAGATCACCACCATTAGGTTGGCAACGATCTGACTGTCGTCGACTAGGAGGGTTTTCACAGTTCCTGAACAGAAACAATACGTTTAGTCCATAATTTGGTTACATGTTGTAAAACTACTGATCAATAACTCAAAAGGACTGCTAATCGCGATACAAGACTATTTTAGGTATTTAGTACCTATCGGTACGCCAGATGTCGCAACGAGTACCAAATCATATAGTTTAACGAGCTGCAATCTATTAAAGCTACTTCAATTTCTAGTGATAACAAACAAATTAACTAGATGGCGCTTATTGCACGGATTTTAATGGATACTGCCTGCACGGACTTGTATAATTAATCTGGACTGCGCACTAAGTTACTAAAACGAGCCGAGTGAGAAGATTGAAAGTAGTAATGCGATTCTTTCTAATAGGGTGTTCATTCATGTTTCAGCCAGCCATATTGTTTTTAACTTTTTAATATTTACAGAAAATGTGGCCGCTTATGGATGGCCAAAACTACTAATATTATTTCATAACACATATTAGTGTACTTATTTGATATGCTACTTCTTAGTAGAAGGTTTCATTGTTGATATATTTTTTTTGTATTATTACAGTAAAAGCATATTACCTTCAAGCTAATTTTATTTAGCCAAAATTTAAAAAAGTGAATAGACTAGACACTACGTAAGATGATTTTATTTAGCGTTGGCAACTTGTTAGACAAGGACAGACCACTACTTCGAGCTATCTCACGTGACTTGGTTTTTTACTTTTACTTAAAATAAACTTTAACATTATCCAAAAAGGTGTAAATTTGTAATATTGGTATATTGAAGTGCGCGATCCAGTTTATGAAATATATAAATCCATGACTGCCGGTTATTCTTTTATATTGTTTAGGATTAGCGTCATCTACCCACATTAGGAAGAATTAATTTATAAATTAGTTTGTAACATACAATGCCATCTATTGACACGCATGTTTGTCAAAGTTCCGAAAACAATATTAGCTCATGATCAATATTTGAATAACATTACGAGAAAAAAAAAATAACATTTTATATTACATATAAAAGTCTGTTAATAAATCACTGGGTTAAAGAGAAATTAAAATTGATATCCACGACCATTTACATAATATAAACTATTTTCAGGCTTATTAATCAGCGCTATCGAGATATAAAACGAAATTTTGACCCTTTTCTGAGTTACAATCTGTAGTATGGAGATCAGCAGTCGCATGAGTTCATGGCGAATTACTTAGATTATTGGGTCGTGCCAATCTTAAGATGCAAATTTGTAGCTTTCTTGTGAAACTTTGGTATATATATATATAATACACGAATGCATTGCAATTTCCTATAGAAGACAATAATTTTCACCAAATCCATTGTGATCTTGAGCTGATGCCAAAAAACCGCATTCAATTTACTTTTGTAAGAATGGTCGTCCGAGCTATGTAGAATTTAAAGACATTTCCCGTTTGTATGAAGAAGTCTGTTCTAGTAGCAGTTAAGGTGCTCTAACAGTTCGTCCAAAGAAGTACTGCCACCTTATCTAAGCACTAATGTGAGCGTTACTGGGTTCCGGTTTTTGAGGGTAGTGGTGCTGCTAAAATTACAAGCACATGGTACTTGTCAACTTATGTTTCAGGGTGACGGGCGCGGCAGTGGCCTTCAAATATGTGTCATTTAAAGGCGCTGCAATTATTATGGACAGAAGTAAAACCGACCTTCAAAGTTCATGGAATTACATCAATTTGCCAAGTTTTATTGAAGTCGGGCAACGGAAAGTACGCGAAAACGGGATTCATCCCCTAGTTTGCTACTCTTAGAGGTGGAATATTTTCTTCCAATTTAAATGGGACCAATAGACTCTCTAAGCCAACAAAAAAAAGAATCATCAAAATCTGAGTAATCCCGTAACAAAAAATACAGTCGAATCGAGAACTTCCTCCTTTTATAAAGTCGGTTAAAAAAGTCTTTAACTAACCGTCCAACATCCTAACACGCAAATTTCTCGTTTTCTTATTGTACTCCAGTACGTCTCCATTACGCAGCATGTAGTAATCAAGGCTGCGGGAGGCTTCCAGCCAGATGCCTTTCTTTGGATCTTCTTCGGAGGCGAGGAAGAGACCGTATTCTTTTGCTGTGGAAGAAAAAAATACGCTATTATACTCCGTTAAATTTAGCTGATAAATACTATTATTTAGGTATGTTCGGTTACACCAACGAAAGTTACATTGAAAAGTAATAAATAGTGAGTGACACCACGCCTTTTCGCCATTGTTCGTGGGGTTATACCCTACTTAATGAGTATTATTATTTATTAATAATTTCAGATATTACCACGATGTTATAAGATTGATTTGAATTTTAAAATTTTAATATGGATTTTCATCAAGTTCGATATGTGTCATTATAATAAAGCAAAATTTTAGAGTATAGTTTTGAGTACGGTGTTTCTAAAGGTGGATGTACGCTTCATCGCACCGCACGTTCTGCATTATTTAAACGGCGGGAAGCCAGATAATACACGCCATAATTAATGACTTTAACAGCATTGCCACAGCATTTTAAAAATAAAATTGGTACGGCGGTGCTGAAAGTTACAAGAGCCTGGTAGCAAAATGTTGATTACGTCACAACATTTGGTAAACTGAACGAAATTTATAGGTGAATATAGGTAAAGACACGGAGTTGAAGGTCTTTGTCCAGTTATGTATGTGTACTCCTTGGTCTCTGCCTTACGAGTCTGAACCCAAAGTCAGAGGTGCAGGACCGGAAGGCGGCGGGGTTGATGGCGAGATAGCAGCGCTACTGCATAATTCCGCGAATTAGGTACTGCATAATTGTAAACACAACAATAAGTAACAATTTTTTCAATTTTATTTTTTATTATTATTATCATTATTTATTTTAGACTCTCGTCTCTCCCAGGGCCTTAAAGATTAGTTTTGAATTTTTATTATTATTATTATTGTTCTTCTCTTGTTTTGTTTATATGCGTGTCTGTGCCTGTGTAATAAACAGTTTTCATTCCTTATTTCAACAGGTATAACAGCAAGTTATACTCGCGTAATGAGAAAAATGAATTTTCATCCTATACACTCAACACCAACTCCGTACCCGTGTAACTTGAAAGCTAGTCTTAAGTTTGCAAATGAAATGTGAAATTCTATACATTCCTTCTCACAAAAATCAGAACTTGAAACCTCGAAATAGGTTTCACTTAAACTTCAAATCGGCTTTTAAGTTACATGACTAGGAATCTGGTTTTTGGTCAATCCAATGTGTATTCATAGTTCGGCCTATGTCTTCCACCTCGTCACTCTTTCTGCTCAGAATATCAACGGTGCTCATTATGTAGCATATATACGACTACACAATGTGTCCACTTTTCGGTTTTATTTAAACCGGTTTCAGAACTTACAGTCATTGGAGTTGGCTTCGAGAATCTTCTCCCTGATAATACGGCAGGCGTCGTAGACGGTGGTGGACGGCTCAAACTGGATGGTCTTCACCACTTTGCCTCCTTCGAGGGATATCTTCAGCGATAGGTTCGCCATTTTGCTTAGGGAATGGGCTCTGTGGAAGAAATTTAGACATGCCGTCAAAACTTTATTCCAGGAAATTATATAGGAAAGTTTTCTGAATTTTAATTGAAATTGCTTAGCAGTTTATCAAGATCATATATTTATTTACTTAAAAAGAAGACCAACAGCTTAAAACTAACTTAAATGATGATAGTAACAATTGAGAGCCGATTACAACTCCTCACAAATAGAAGTATAAAATAAGGAACCCTGGATTAGCAATTTAACTAACCTATTACATAAATCATATCTCATTACGTAAAACGTAAAAATACATGCAAGCCTGCCTATGCAAACAAATGCCCACTCAGTGCTCTCCTCGCCGAAATCATGCTCGTATTGAAACGATCCAGATTAAAAAAATTACATACAATATGTTAAAAAATTATTGATTGCACGCCACATAAACTCATTTTGCCTGTTTCTTAAAGATTTAGAGGAAACTCACAGTAATATTTGTGATAATAAATCCGGACCGTTTAGTGAGCCCGATGCGATTTTTATTAATAAATTAATATAACATCATGAGAATAAAGGCTAAGTGTTATGTCAGTTTTGGATTCCATTTAATAAGCTGGTATTGAAAAGTGGCAGGCAGTTTTCAAAATCCTCTTTACAATAAGAATACTTTCCCGTAAATATTTAATTTAATGATGTGTTTTTTACCAAATCAATGATTACTTTCAAAATGGGCTGAGTGTTGGTTAAATTAAGTTATAATAAATTAACGGTGAAATGTCATTTAATTTGTTTGAAAACTATTCTGCCAAATCAGTACGGTAACAACTGCGCTCCGATTGGCCAGCCCGAATCCGAAACAATTGACGGGTGTCGTCAATCGTTTCACTTTAAATGTTTTTCCCGCGCCACCGAATGGAACAGCCTGCCATAGTTAGAGATATTATCTTTATTACAATAAATACAGAATATTTTGGAATATACGGAGACATACACACAGGCCAGTTGTTGGCGTTATACTATTTCAGCTTTCTAAGTTGTGATTTCAGCGCAAACGAGAGTTGATATTTAAAAGTGATATAGTGCCCATTTGCCCAATGAATTGCCAGAGATGGACGGTCCTCGTTACGTCTCTAGTTCTGGTTATATACTCGATGGCATAGCATAATGAACTGTGAGTGGCGCTGCCACTGCGCCACTCAGGCACTCTAAGGGTCGTATTCCATAACTCTACTCAACGCTCCAGTCAGGATTTGAGCAGACTTGAGTATGATTTGAAGCACTGGAAATACGACCCTAATGGCAAGGACTTGAGTATGATTTTCAGTGCTCACTGCAATACTCATGTCCTGACTTGAGTATTGAGTAGAGTTCTGGAATACGACCCTAAGACATAAAGTTGCCAAGTCCCGTGTGCTTGTAAAATAGTGTTCGTATAAACAACCTGTGTATAGTGGCAGTGCGTTCCGGAGTGAGGTTGTTTTCAGGGTTGAGGGAGTGGGTGCTGGCTCGTCGTGGCCGAGGCCTCTCCTGGCTGAACGACCGGACCCGCGGTCGGCCTTGGAATGAACCCTGTTGACGCGCATTTGAGATTAGTTTATTGTTGACAACGTTTTGGGTACCCGGATTGGGCCAGTGTGGACGACAATCCCTCTGCTTAGAGGAGAACCGTGTCCAGCAGTGGGGCGTATAATGGTTTGATGCTGACGACATTCATGTGTCAGATAAGTATTGTTTTTTTAATTAGCAAATTATTACAAAACGGATGTAACAAAATGCGCGAGGTCAATTTCAAAGATTCCGCTCTTGTTCTCATTGAATCTTACTTTTCTTTCAAAAGGGAGCATTCTCTACAAAACCAAAAGGTAAAAAAAACCGTACGAAATAAAAATTTAGATATAACTCAAATACAATTTCATCATATTTAGCACCAGTCATGTACCACTTGCGATCCACATTAAACTTGACGCTTTGGAGCGTTCTTAACGTAAGCGGCATAAAATCGAATTTAAATCTTAAGTATCAACCTTTTCTTAATCCATTTTATTAGTTTTTTTAAATTACTTATCGAATACTTTATTATTAAGGGTGTAATATGTCCGTCTTTATTATATACACTTAACTCATCGATATAACGAGACTGACATGACCTCAAGATACGACTATCGCAAATAAGCTACTATTAAAAAAAAATGCCTAAAGTTACTCTGACCAGAAGAAAATTTTCACTAGTATATTTCGTTTTTGTGATCTGCAAATTGATAGAATTAAGTATGTACGTACGCTTCTGGGCGCGGTCAGCCGGCGCCAATTCTGCTGTAGAGCGCTTTCGATGCGCGCGCGCAGGTTACGTCACGATTCCGTCGGCGTTTGCGATGTGCACGGGTCACTTGCCACCTGGGAACAACGTAAAAAAAATTGTACTCGTATATACCTTAAAAAGTATGTATAAGTATATGTATAAGATAAACAAGCCTTAATAAGGCCAATGGATATCGAGTGGTATTTATTTAAGCCACTTCTACCAGGACTAACCCACTTTCCACATAAGAGCGTCAAGATTGGTGGTAGCCTGTGTGAGTGCCTAACTCGTAGTGGGAGATTGAATATGTCGATGACGACAGGGGTTATACTTAAGTACTACCAGTCCAGATGTAGCCTACTTAATTGTATTGTACAGCATGTTCCTGAGCCCGGACTCTGTCATCTCAAGACGGCACTTGTAATATCATTACCGCATGGTAGACAACCAGTATTGTCGAATATGTTTTACTTTTAAATATAACGCACCTTAAAATCAGAAAAAACTCAACTTTAACGTTATTGAAAATGAATTTAAATTTGAAAAAGCGCTATTTTCGTTTAATGGCAATATTGGTTTCACCGTGCTATACGTATTTGAACACAATCAATTGGAAAACATTGGTTATATGTGCATAGCGTTGAAAGCCTAGAATTTTTTTCGAAATATTAAAAATAGGGCAAATACACTACAGTCTAAGACGAAATAAAACATAATTATTGCAATTGCGGCGGAAGCGACATATTAAAACGCCATTTGTAACGACGTCGTTAAGATTTCTCAATACAAGTGTTTCGTATTATGACGAAATGCTTGGTAGTCAACACTCTCTTTAAATCGCACATAATAAAATGACGCGATTGTAAATGTTTATTTTTGAGACACTGACAAAATAAACGTAAAAAAGATTTGTTTTTTTTTTTGTGAAGTAGGAGGCAAACTACTATTATACTTAAGCTATTGTATTGTATTTTAATTGTAATTTTAATTTTATGTGCAATAAAGAATATTTCATTCATTCATTCATTCAAACAAGCAGACGAGCCAGTTGATGGGAAGTGGTCATCGTCGAGCATGGACATCTGCAACATCAGAGGAGCTGCTCATGCGTTGCCAGCCTTTCAGAGTCCTGTTGATACGCTTTTTGAAGAACCTCATGTAATAGCGTAAAAGAAATACTTCAGAAGGGAAACCATTCCCCATCTTGCAGGTTTGAGGAAGGAATGAACGGTTTAGAATGCCAGGCGTCAAGAATGTGGGGATGGGCTTTACTCCTTTAGCGGGACAATAATGATAAAACTAATATATAATAAATCATCGTTACTACGATTATACAACTATAGTCTGTCATTTTTGAAGATGGAGTAAAATGACAGTTAATTGTGCAAAAGTGTTGCCCGCTTGCAAACTGCTAGTGATAGATTCAGTCGATAAAAATTCTATCGACTGAATGTTGGTCATGCTTATGAAATAAATAGCCGAACTTGTTTCATTTGAATCGTCATCACCCATTATTCGTACAACTACTGGGCACAGGTTCATTTGAGCCGTCAATTTTTGTAAGTTTGTATATACATACACTACATTTAGAACTATTATAACAATTAATAATACGAAGTTGAGACAGATTTCAAAGTTTTTCATCTACTATAGATAATCAAATCCACGTGTTCTTGTTCAAATGTATGTGAACAAAAATTGATTTTGTTATTTGCAATAACGCAATTAGTAAATTATTAGAACGTCTTAACATTCACTATTCAGACATTTAAGGCAAAAGTTTTACCTTTTTCACAATCTATCGATAAAACTGTCAACAACAAGTACATTTTACTTTTTACATTTTATATTATAATTTCATAAAAATTGCAAATCCTGCAAATGTCATTTTACTCCCACTTCAAAAAAGATACATTATATAATAATTTATCAGGAAAAAATCTGACAGCGGATATGGCGCGGAAAAACACACCAACTCAATTTTGTTCTATGGTTATTTTAACCAATGAAAAGCTCAATGTCTTAGTCACAATAAAACTTACCACATTACGAATACGGCTATGTATGAAGACAAAAATGAACCATATAGGTTTGGGTTACTATTCTCGAAAAGCACCGATATAATGCAAATGAACGTCAGATTACGAAATGCCTAACGAGTCTGCCGCGTCATCTGAGACACTTTTTATTGTGAACTACAACTGTATAACAATTGGCCATTTGAATGTTGACACCGAGACTGCTTCCTGTCACCAATCCATCTGTCCATTTATAAATAGCCGCAGGTGCCGCATATGTGGCGGCGATCGCCATGTGTTCGGGACACCACGTCCCGAAATAAATGCGCTGTTGGGAACTGTTACAATTACCAGTTCCTGTTTACTACTAGTTTCTTTTTCAGTGCGACTCACTAAAAATAGACAATGGGAATAATGGTTGGACAAAATTACTCCAAATAACGTAACATTGTAAACCTATCTAACAATACTAACGGTGGATGGTGGTGGAGCTCCTTGTGAAAGTTCATTCAGGGAACCTCTGCCACATATCTATTTCTGCCGCCAAGCAGTAATGTGAGCATTACGGCGTTCCGGTTTTATAGGGTAAGGGTGCTGGTGAAATTACAGGCACATTGGAATTGTTAATTCATGGCTCAGGGTATCGGGCGCAATGGTAGTTCTGAACTATGAGTGGCACTGCAGTTGCAGCTATATGCACTGCAGTTGCAGACAGTGGTCTCTTCATTGGTACATAAAAAAACCTGCACGTCGAAAAAAGTTCACAACACTTGGATAACGTGTGAAGTCTCCGACCCGTATTGGACCAGAGCGTTCACAAATGTACTATCAAAGTTGAAGTCTTCCCAGACCTAAATCAGTTTTTTTCTTTAAAGTGGAGATTGTAGCTAACCCCGTCGTTCTTTATTTTACTAACTTTTGTTTGAGTAAGCCTTTTGTTTATTGAAAATATGATCCAGTCCTTAAAAACGCCATTGGCTGAAACGATCAAGTATGCTGTGGGTGGCTGATATTGATCACTTGTCTGCACGCAAAAAGAACCCTTAATGTGGTAACTGGCCGTAACGCGAAGACTTTGCTCATAGGATGTAACTTAGAAATCAAAATCTTCGATACATGCTACGACAGGAATTGAGAAGCAGCCGTTCCCACAATAGATTATATATCGCATACATTCATACTAAGTAAAATCCTTAGCATACGCAATTTCATGTTTAGAAATCGACATCGTCTACCGACTGGAGGTTATAAATAAACCGAATCGGGAGCACTGATCTATAATAGTTAAAATTCGTGACGTCATCGTCAGCCGTTTGCCCCTGCGTCCTTCGTCTATTATTGTTTTCACTAATTAGCATCGTCACTCGTCACCAAGACGTAGAAAAACGATGTCAATTGATCAAGTTAACAGGATAAGAGCGGTGGTAATTCAGAAGGAAAAATTTCTCAATGGAGAAGCCGGTAGATGGAATTTCTGTGACATCGACAACTTAAATTTAGTAATAATGCCTCTACTTTCTCGCCTACTGCACTCGCTAATAATGGGGGGAAAACATTATGACGAAACCTAAACGTTGCAGAAGGTTCACAACTCTCATAACCCTCTCCTTAAAGGAGATCAGGGACCAGCACTAAGTCGTATAATTAGTTGTTGATGATGATGCTGGTTATATACTCTCGGACACATAATTCTAGGCACCTAGCTTTTCAGCATTAAATGCCTTGAGCTTAAAATTTTGAACAAAAAGTATTATGCAATTTTCAAACTGGTATACAAAACGTCATTTCAGTTAAAAATTTGAATTTGTAAAACCAGGGAAAACTTTTTCTTCGATTATAACGTATGTTATCATATGTTATATAATAATATGTTGTCTAATTCTTTTTACTTTTTATATACTTTTTATTATTATTTTATTTATTTAAACACTTTATTGTACCACAAAGTAACTTACAAATTTTCAGAAACAATTTAAATATTTGTGTACAAAGGCGAGCTTATCCCATAAAGAGATTTCTTCCAACTAACCTTTGAAAATCTGAGAGGAAAGTTGGTTTTTGGGGTGGCACTAAAAATAGATAAGTAAAGAAATGAAATATACTATACTCAATAAATACACAGATAAATTTAATAAATCAAATGTACATACGAATATATATATATTAAGTAATATATACAATACAATATAAACTTTTTATATACAATAAGTAAGATCAGTAGCTGGAGTACGGTCTGACCTTATCGTAGCAGCCTGTATACTCTTATACCTATTTCGTGCCTACAGGTACCAGAGAGACATCGACGTCGTCTCAACGTCCGACTGGAGTTTATAAATAAGCATTGGGGTCACTGACCTACAATAGCTGAAATCTGTCTGCGTGTGCGTCTACGTTCTTGGTTTCTATTGGTGTTTTCACTGATTATTGTTGAAGACAGAATTTGCTTACAAAGACAATTTAACGGTATCAACAATGACGTAAAAGTGTTTTTTCTATATTCATTTCAGGCAAACGCCTTTGAACATAGTATGATTGGAAATGGAAGATACTTGCCAGGAAGATTTGTATTAATTCACGCCTTGACATAGCCCACATTTTAAGCAGAGTTGGCACAAAACATTGCTCTAAACGAAGTTTGGTTTCTTTGTTGAAAATTGTCCTTTCTGAGATCACATCGAGAAAGTACTTATAAACGCTAGACTGCGCAGTGAGAATAGGAGGGCTTCGTTGAAAGAGATTTGCTAGGATCGTGCAAAGTGGCGATAGTTTCTGTCTAGGTCTGTGGAAATCCAAAGGCGTATGTACATATCTTCCAATTTGTTATACGAGTGGTTGTACTCCGTATACTAAAAAAAAATTCACCGCCTTGTACCGCAGACAGCGGACTGAATTCAATTACTCAAAACTTTATAGTCGTAATAAACCCATCTAAATACCTAACAATTTTCCATATATTGAAGTATTAACATTCCGTCTCAGGGCCTGCGCGTGTTTTTATGCTAAACGCCTCCATAACCGCCCCGTTATTACCATGGGGGTTCTCGGGGTGTTTTTAATGAACTCTATTTTAGAGTAAG